TTACCAAAACTAAAAATGTGTCCAAAAAATATTTTTATGGTGTAATAGATATACTATTTTGCTTAAAATTTAAGTTCAATGACAGAAAAATATGCCAATTTACATAGTTAAGAAATTTAAGTTTTAACAGAAATTTAAAATATGGAGTTATTATTTTAAACCGTTAGATAGTATATTTCAAATTTATCGTAAACATAAATTTGAGTTATTAATTAAATTAATTATATAGTTATAAATTACTATCCAACTTTAAATTTTTATTCTCCAATATTTAACGATATTTGCTAAATTTTGTAATATTTAAAGAAAATACCCCTTTATAACAAAATGTCAGTTTTCCCGAAAATCGCAAAAACTCGCAAAATATTGCCAGTTGGAATAAAATCCTACTATTTCCGACAAACAGATTCTTAAAGTTTCATACTGGGAAGAGGTCGGACTTTTTTAAAAGCTTATATGAAGTTGGTGATCGCAAAGATTTAAGAAGTACCCCCGCACTCTTTTTGGGTCAGCTTTTTACGTTAATTACACTAGTTTACAACGATTTTGCTCATGATATAAAACCTATATGAATTTCTTTATTTTGACCGTCTAAGTCCAGAAAAAATATTTAAAAAATCTAGTACGTAGAATTTTTGAATATTCATAAAGAAAGAAAATGCTAAAAAGGGTTAAATTAGGAGGAAAAAATTGGATATATAGAGTTGTAGTTATTTTTTGTATAAAAAATTTTACTGGTCTTCCTTACAACTCTCTAACAATCGATTCCTGTCACGAAAATATTAAAAATTACGTTGCAATAATCTTAAATCTTGGTGAAGATATGCCATTTTTATCACTCACACTTTTAAGAGTTTTTTAGAAAAAGTATAAATGAGAATGTAAGAAATGAATTATGGGGGATAAATACAGATCCGTTAGTTTGTAATTATGGCATAAAATGTAAATAATTTTTTCGATTTTTTTTTTTTTAATTTTAAAAAAAACCTAACAAAACAATTACTAAAAATCGGGTAAAAAAAACAAAAAAAGTGGTAATAAATGGGTTAAGAAAGTCGTAAATTTTATATAATTGGATTTTTTTCTGAGTTGGTTGTTAGGTTCCCAAAACAGGTGGAAGCACCCAAAAAACAATTCTCATTTTCAAATATTTTTGCAGCACTACTGAAGAAGGATGCTTAATAAAAACCACTTTATCTCAAAATTTCGACGTATAGGAAAAAAATAAAAATTGTTAATTAACCACCGGACATAGATAGCCCTTTCCCAAAATATAGGTTTCATTCCATGAGCAAACAAAAAATATTAATTTGTATACTTGTGTTATTAAAGTACTTCCTTTTATCTTTTATATCCAACATTAATTTTTTAATTTGTTTTTTTTTCGCAGAAAGTTGAAAAAAGAATCTGCAAAAATCTGTATTCGAAATTACATTTCATTTTTTATGAAAAAAGCAACTTTAGTGGCTTGTTATTAAAGAGTAATTTAATGTTGATGCAAAAAAATACATTTTCTATAGCTCCGAAGTATGGCCTACAATACTGCATTGAAAAATATGTTAAATGCGACATAAAAAAATTGTTCTGGCCAAAGAAAGTGGTTGTCTGAACCTGTGACCCAACTCAAAAAATCGATTTGGATAAAATTTTCTTCAAGGTGTATAGTAGCCAGACACAAATTTTCAGCTCTATCGGTCAAGAACTGCCGGACTTAGAGGGGGTCGTGGCGAAACTCTGCCATGATGTGAACCTACTTACATCACTAAAAATTTCATTGAAACTGAAATCGTGTTTTTTACCCCACGAAATTGCCCATATACTAAAATTTAAAAAAATAATTAGAAAATACCTTTTTTTTAAATTGGTCCAGCTTACGAATGGTTATCGCTAGACTCTAAAACAGAGCAAAGTAAGAAGGGTAACAACACGATTTTAGTTTCCATCTAATTTATTAGAGATATATGTACATACAGTGTCTCTCATAAGTATTCGAATTTAATGTATTATGAAAACAGACATCATTTTATAATAGATTTTGCGGGAAAAATAAATAAATAAATTTATTATGTTGTCCAGACAGTCCTTAAATTTTATACCACATTTTAAAAATTAAAAAAAAAATAATTTACTTAAACTAATTTAACTTTTTTTAAAAAAAGTGCAAAAAATAGCTTCACAAAAGTATTCGAATTTTTTGTATAAATCATATTTAGATTAGCACTATGAAGTAAAAATAAATAATTAAAATTAAGTTAATGTTTTTTATAGTAGCCTTTATTTTTAAAAACAACTTCCAAGCGTCGTGAGACCGTTTCTACCAATTTATGGAACAGTTCTGGCGTTATTATGTCCCATTCTTCATGCAAAGCAACCGTATGGTGGTTTTAGAGGATAATGAGTGATTTAAAAGTTGTTCTTGTAAATATAACCACATATTTTCAATGGAGTTTAAGTCCAGACATTAACTTCATTGAAAATTTGGTGAAAGAAGATACTTAGTGTTGTAAATGATCAACATTTTCACGTACCAGGTCGTGTATTTTGGATCGTTTTTCTGTTGAAAAATAAATTGAATGGGTTGTAGCCCAATTTTGGTGGTACTAGCATGCAAATTCTGCTCTAAAATTGACAAGGTGACCTTCTAGTCTATAATTACAATAATAAATTTTAGCAGTCCAACGCCGTGGACGGACACAGAACCCCAAAATATGGCAGAGCAACTTGGATCCTTTACAGTTGGTTTTAAGTTAGATAATTCCAAGGCATCTCCAAGCTTTCGCCATATCATTTGACGACCATCTGAGCCAAAAATATTATATTTGTTCTAATCGTCGAAGATAACCTCCTTCCAGAATCCAATATTCTTACTTATGAGTCTATTTGCGGAGTCAAGACTCTTAACATCGATTAACTTCGATATGAGCGGTTTCCACCTTGGTACTTGACCATGCAAATTATTGCTCCCTAGTACTTTGCGCACAATTTCGACACTAATTTTTATTCACAGGACTGTCCTGAGTTCGTTGTTAGTTTTTGGAGCTGATAGATGAAGGTTCCTTCGGTATTTCCTCAGTATTTCTCTGTCGTCCTGTATTGACAGCAGTTTTGGACGACTTGATAATGGCAAATACTCGATGGAATTCTTTGTTCCATGCGTGTAATGCCAAAATATATTGTCGATGGGAATCTATCAAACATTTCCTATATGTATTTAATTGATCGGCCTTGATTATACAGATATAAATTAATTTTTTAATTTGAATTGATCAACTCTTTTTCTTTGAACATTTTAAGCGCTTACACAGGAAGGATTTACAACATAATTATGCAAATTTCCAAAAAATATAATGTTAAATATTCCATATAACCACTACCTGCATAATGGGTTAATTAATGGGCAATAAAACACGTGTTCAAGGATTCTAATAAAGTTCTTAGAAAAAATTCGAATATTTTTGCGCAGTACCTGAAATGACCCTTTTTGGTTTTTTTCCATTTTCTTGGAAACCATTTATGAGTTTTTATTACTTTTTTCTTGTATTTTGTAAAAATAATATTAATTAATAAAATTTCATTAAAAAATTTTAAATACCATTATTATTTTTAAAGTAGCATCATAAAATAACACAGTAAATAATAAATTCGTATATTTATGTGAGACACTGTATGTATGTAGGTTCACATTATGGCAGAGCTATGCCATGGTTCACATAAAACTTGTTTGTGTAGAATTGTATCGCTATACCTATAGGTTGTTATGCTTTTTTATAGAGACTGCCGACAAATGTGGACCGATTTAAATAATATTTAAGAGAGTTATAGACAAATAATTTGATAATTAAAAATTTGAAACATTATGCTTTTTATTTTGAGAAGCAAAATTTTCGATTAATCGATGCAGAAAATCGATTTCAGTATAACATTGGCAGTGTAGAATCGATCACAAAATAATCGATTTTTTACAGCAATAATCGATTAATGGTCATAATCGAAGCGAATTTACCATTCCCTAGTTCAGACGTTTGGACTGTGAGATGATGAATCATTCAGTAATGCTACTCATTTATAATGTAATTTTATATACTTAGATGATTAGAAATATGAATAAATGATGTCTGTTGTTCATGTGAATAACGGATTTCGCATAAAACACAAAAACAACTTTTTTCTTGCAATTTAAAGAAATTATGACATACAGTGAACTCTCTATAATGTGAACTAATTAATGTCGGAGTAGTTCATATTTTCGATTGTGATTTTTTTTTATATATATTACTAAGTTATTCTTTCTAAAAATCATTTCTGCAAGGAATGAAAATGCAAAGATTACTAAAAAAAACTTTTTGTAATTTATTTGGAACATAAAAAGTTTTTAAAAATCCATTTTATAAAGAGTACATACGTAGTATGTACATGAAAAACAAATATTACAATAAAAAAATAAAAAAATTTACAATGAAAAAAGATAGTATGTACCTATATAATTAAATATGGAAATAATCGATTATTATTTTCTGTTTTTTCTTTTGTTTGACCAGCTTACTTACCGCCAATTCCCTGATTTTTTTCAATACTTTAATGTCAGTTTGATCGACCATTTGAAATTCAGCCCATTGGACAGCTTTGTTAAAAATTTCGACAGCTTCTTTGGCTTTAATGTTGTTTTCAGGCGCTTCAATAAAACAGTCGTCATCATCGTTGGACTTTTCAATTAAATCATTTTCATCAAATGGCGTGACGTCCTCACAAGGATTATTGATCCAATCTCTAATGTTTACAACAGTAAATACTTCCTGAGGGCACAATGTCTGTAGAAGATCTGCAGCAGTATTTCCTAAAGATCTAACCTCTGATTGCCACTTTTCTTTTAAAACGCTCAAAGGAACATTAAATTCAGGATCGTCTTCATCATTTACCATATTCAAAATATTTTTCCAACAGTTGATAAAGTTTCTTTACCAACTCGGTTCCAGGATGTCTCTAGAATAGAAACTCCTTCTTTAAGTGTGTTTTTTTAATCGATTCATGCAACTGTTCCTATAATGAAGTTTGGTGATTCTAATTGCATTTTGATCTATTGGCTGGATCAGAGCCGTTACATTTGGAGGCATGAACATAGATTCTATGGAACCATCCTCGGATTTAAGGTCGGATTCTGGTGGATGGGATGGGGCATTATCAATTAGGAGTAAAGCTTTTACTGGTAATCCTTTCTTCTTTAAAAAATCTGTCACCTTAATGAAAAATAAAACAGTAAGAATCCCAATTGAACTTTTTTTGCATGTTTACTTACCTCTGTCACAAAACAGTTGTGAAAGAAGTCATCCAAGCAGACTTTGAATTTCTGTAGTTTACGGGACAGATAAAATTTTTAAAAATGCGAGAATTTTTCGATTTTCCTATTACTAAAAGTTTTATTTTATGAGATCCTGACGAATTTGCACAGCATAGAAATGTTATCCTTATTTTTACATTTTTGCACCTGGAGCGCTTTTCTCCAATGACGTTACATATGTCTTTTATGGGAGAAGTTTCCAATACAGACCAGACTCATCGGCATTATACAACTGATCATTGGATAAACCCAAATCTTCTATCTTTGTTTTCAATTTAATTTTAAAAGGATTTACGAACTGAGATTGCGCAGAAAGTTTTCACCGCTTATCTGAAGGAGCCGGATTCCGTATCTATTTTTAAAATTTTTGTACCCACCCATCGCTAGCATTGAAATCATTTCCGTTTTCACTTATATTTTTGTGAATTTGTTTGGCTTTCTCTTTTAACATCAACCCACTTACAGGAAGGTTTTTATTCCGCATGCAAATAAACCACTTATAGAGCGATTTTTCCATTTTTGGAAGCTCTGAAGATCGTAATGTTTTGCGTTTTCCGGGTCCATAAAACGTATCGTTCACACATTTTAAAATATTGTCTTTTTTATTGAACATATCGTTGATTTTGCAACTTTATACTTTTTACTTAACACTGTAACACTCGATCCTTTTTTAAATATTCCAAAATTTCTTATTTTCATTTAAGGATAAAAACTTTCGACTGTTTTTAGACATCACTAATTTTAAAAATAAATTCACGAACCTACCACAACAAGTTACATAAAGCTACTAGCGTTAAATACCTTTAAAATAATGGCATACTATGGTATTTATTAACATTAAAAATAAATGCTTTTACAAATTAAAAAATCCCCAAAAATTAAAAAAAAATTTCACTATTTAGAGCCATTAAGCTTTGTTCACTATTTAAAGCGCCCATATAAAAAACTGAGTGTTCACATTAGTGGATAGTTCATTATATTGGATGTTCACATTACCGTGAGTTCACTGTATTTCATTCGTTACATTTGACATTTCATTTCGTTACTAACAGACAGTGTTGCCATAACGGCATTTAAAGTGCAATTCTAGCACTTTTTTTCGGCGGCTGCACTTATTTTTTAGAAAAAAGTGCTGGATGCTTTTTAGCACTTTTTCGTCTTTTGCTAGAAAATTTTAGCATTAAAAGTGCATTTTTGGCATTTTTGCTTCTATTTTGCATTTTTTTATAATTAAAGAACTTTAAAGATTAATTTCTATAGAGAACTGCAAAAATTTAGTTTTGAGATGTGAAATTTTAAGAAATTCTCACGAAAACTTTTTGTATATGTTTATTGTAATTTATAATTTACACTATAAATTAAACTAAGAAGTGAATTATTTTAAATATTATTATGCAATAATCGTAACAAATATTTGAAAAAACAAGTAAGAGTGCTATATTCGGCTGTGCAGAATCTTATATACCCTTCACCATAGTGTATTTAAAAATATCAATTTTATAAAATTCAAATTTATTTCATTTTCCCGACTATATCATTATTATAGCAATAGCAAAACAAAATAAACAACAATAACGCTAAGCGAAATAAACACACAAAAAACAAAATACACAAGGCAGTAAAACCAACAGACATCCAAACATACGAAACGAAATACACAAAAAAACAAAAACAAAATACACAACGCAATGAAACCAACAGACATCCAAACATACGAAACTGAATACACCAAGAAACAAAAACAACATGGCAATGAAACACACAGCCATTCAAACATACGAAACGAATTAATCAGAAAAACAAAATACACAACGCAATGAATAAGCAGTGTTGTTGTTGTTTATTTTTTATGAAATTTTCAGAGGTTGTCTCGGATTTTGCTTATATCTCCGTTGTTTATGAACGGATTTTGCTAATTTTAAATAGGAAACTTCTCGAAAGCATGTCTGATAGAATTATTGAATATTTGGATCCCTAAGATATCTGGGGTCTTCAGAAAACTGATTTCAACAGACAGACGGACAGACAGACAGACAGACGGACATGGCTTAATCGACTCCGCTATCTATATATATAATAAGCTAAAAGAGCGTTGTTTTGGTAACAATGTAGTGACTACATGCTAAAACGGCTAATATCTTCCAAAAACATTTTTTTTTTTAATCATTAAAATTTAAAATATACAATAAAATAAGAATGTATGAACATATAAAAACAGGTAAAAGTTCAGGAATGCCGAATATTACATACGCACCAACGCAAGACGTTTTACCAGGATTTGCTCATTTATTAGATTTATACTCAAATTTATATCGTGTATCGATTTTATTTTTGGAATAGGATCTCAATGGTTTGGATCACGGACCGAGCTCTAAGAAGGATGTTTTAAAACAAATCATTTTTTCGAATGTATCATAATACTAAAAGGTTTTAATAATTTATTGAGAATAAATTTATTTTCTGAAAGAGGATTTATATAGAGGAGAAATTACCAACTTGCGTATTTGAATATAACCCTCATAATTCATTTGTCATTAACATTTATATTGTTTCCTAAAAGCTCTTAGAAGTATGAGTAATAAACCTGACATCTATACACCGAGATTTAAGATTATTTCAACTGAATTTTCAATATTTTTGCAATAAGAATACCTTTGCTAAAGTGTTGTGAATAAGACCCATAAAATTGTTTATATAAAAAATAACTAAAACTATGAATATAAAATGTTTTCTTCCGAATTTAACCCTTTTTTTTTTAGCATTTTTTAATGAATAATTAAAAGATTAAATACATACTTTTTCTGGTCTTAGTCCTAAACAAAGAAAACCATATAGGTTTTATATCCTAAACAAAATCGTTGTTACCTAGTGTTATTAGTTATTTAATATACATATACATAAATATGTTGGTATATACTTATTCTTAGGGGCATTAAACAAATTTTCGAACAGGTTTTGTACCTTACCCTTTCCGATTTTGATAAAACTTGGTACACACATTCTTTGTATCAATACGAAGTTTAAAGTTCTTCAAAATTTCAAAATTCATTACGGTTTAGATTTTATCAAGGTTTAAAGTTCAAATTTTTTAAGATTTTTTTCAACAAGCATTAAATTTGACATCGTAATTTGTTGACTCAAACGGTTAGTTTTTTAATTGTGTTAGTGAAACAACTCACATGTATATATGCGGAGTGAGTTTTTTTACTAACACAATCAAAAATTTACAGTTTGAGTTAACAAATTTGATGTGTGGCCATGTCGCTTAAGGATGATGACATCAAACAACGTCCTTTAATCAATGATATCTCAAAAAGTGTACCTTACATTTTCTTTAATCCTTCACATAAGATTGCTTATATAATGTTTTCAATAAAATATAAAAATTTCAGAATGGGACAATGAGGGGATCTCAAGTAAATCAACTTTTAGTAAAATAATCCACATCATTTCCATACAAATTTCAAAAATTTTAATTTTTTGTTCAACAATTTAATTTTTGTTTCAAATTCTTAAACTTTTTGAAATAGTCTTTTGCATTTTCGTTGAATTATGTGAAAAATTGCGACCTGTACATTATACCTGGACAGCCAGCCGCACAGGCGGGTAAACATAGCTTAATGGACTTTTAAAAACTTGATTTGAATTTAGCACTTTTTTCAACGAATTTGCACTTTTATAACCGTCATTTTGCACTTTATTCTGAGGGAGTTCTGGCAACACTGCTAACAGAGCACTTTTATGTTAAAAAACATAACATTTTACACAAAATGTTTATAGAATACAAAAATTTAAAAATTCATGTTAACAACGTTAACAGAACGAACGTTTAAGTTTTAGAATAAGGGTATAAAATCAGTGTTGACAACAATGGACAAGCAAAACGCGCGCGAAAAAATTAAAAAGGAGTAAAAAAGCGTTATTTTCGAACTGAAAAGGGGTAAAAAAGCACTACGGTTTTTTTTTAGTAAAATAAAGTTTATTTTTATAAAAATTGCACATCACATTGCTCATTTACTACAAGACTGGCATACTCCAAATTTCTTTTCATTTTTTTTTTGAACTAAGGGCTACAGAACATGCTTCATACTAAAGTCTTTCATATAGATTTATCAAATTTATAATATGTCGATTATTTTCGGTTAGTTAAATTTTTAGATATAAACGTAACAAATAATGTTTTGACGAATATTAGATAAATAAAAATTAAATTTCAATTTAGATGAGAAACATATTAACCTACACTGTCTGAATCTGGTTTAATTTTTCAAATCCCTCATGATACAACCATTAAAAGGTAGAATCAGTAGGGATTGCTGTCAATTTTCTTCCTTATTATATGAAACATAAAAGAACTGAAAAGAAAAAACTTCAAAATATCCAAATGCAGTATTCCACATTTTTATGCCCTTCCTTTGATTTTGCGTTCTATGTTATTTAAATTTAAAATCCCTTAATTTGTTTAAAAGTTATTTTAAAAATAGTAAAATGTCATTAAACATTCAAACTGGTATAGCCTATCACAGCACACTACCAAATGTCCTACCGATGCATCTACACCCAAATTAAAAAATTGCACAAAACTTATGAAATATTTTTTTTTTTTTGCTAAATCTATATATCTTTAAATAAAACCACTTCAAACCGGTCAAAATTTACTGTTCATATAAAAAAATCTGGCCTGATGTTTAAAAATACATATTAATATTTTTCAAGTTCTTAAAAAATTTTTAATTTCACTGATCTGAGTGAGTGAGATACATAGGTACATAGCTTCCCAGCGGTAAAAATTCACATACTCGCTTATCTAAGTGATATTTCGTGGCAGTCAGTTGTGATGCTTTCACTTATTCTTCCACTAAGACTTAACATAAAAGTATCCTAGGCTGCCTCATCGATATGCTCTCGCTTAGAATGTAAGCCACGATACCATTAAGACAAAATAAAATTTCACTTACATAATGTGTGGAGTTCTAAGCGAAGTTAATGAGATGTCTATAAACGCTTGCAAATAAGAATGTAATGTATGTAGATTACAATCCTTTATTTAAAAATTATCATCAAATAATAAACATGTGTTATAGTTAATTCACTAAAAATATAATTAAACAATTTTAACGAAGATAAATGAATCTTAATTTTCTTTTGAAACCTT